GAGTCCTTTTGAGCCCTCGAAAGTATGCAAGACAAATGCAGTAAAAGGGGGAAAAGCAAGAGCTACAGCAGAACTTAACTATGCCCTACCTATTCCAAACTTCTTGAGGCGAAATTGCCCTTAAAGTTTTCTGTCACATTCCGAGCATTTCTGCTCGGCCAATTTCCAGCCTGTTGATTGCCCATTTAGCAGGCTCTTTCTTCCCAGGATCGATACCCTTTCTTGTGCCCTTCCTAACACAGCGATCTACTCGCGGATTCTTTGACAATTTTCAACCCAGTTGATGGCCCCATTAGGCCGCGTAGAAAAAGGACCCGCGAAAAGAACTCTTGCCGAGTAATTGAATTAAATGGCTGGGGCGCTGTGGCAAAAAGCAAAGTAAATTAAATAAGTTTTTCATTTTGGCCGCGGCCAAGTTGCATTGTCAACGCCATCGTCGTCGTCTGAGTCCTGCTTTTTTGCTTGCCCGCATTTTACGCTTCGCCGGCGGCCCTTTGTTGGCTCAAAATTGGTGCGGGATGGGATGGCTGGATACCGGCCAGAACCAAAATGCAATGAGCCAAAAGTTGTTTAATGTATGCATTGCCGTCCAGGGCAGAGTTGCGGTTAACAGCGCGTCGCAACTTTTGGGTTTTTGACTACTGAGGGTCTGAGTACTGAGAACTGAGAACTGAGGACGCAAAGTAACTTTTCGCATAGTACGTAAATTTTCGGATTTTTTTTTTGCCCGTTAATGCTGAGCATACTTTTAGGTAGCTTAGTGGCATTTACACTAATTTCGACTGCGACTCCTCCACTGGCAATGGTGTGATTTATTTGCCGGAAAAGATTACTTACTCGAGGGGGGGATCTGCGGTTTTCGGATTGAGGGAAAGCATTTTGAGCCACCATTTTGACATGACTCCTATTTTGCTCTACTATAGACACTGCCACTGACAGCGGAATGAAAAACTGCCAAGTGAAAACTGAAAGCTGAAAACGAATTTGTAATTAGTTTTACTCGGTTGTACTTTGTGCCATTGAGAGTTTTTCGGGTTCAGTTCAGGTTTGTCTTTTAAGTGCAAATTAATTGGAAAACTCGTTGAAAACTGGCTCATTGTGAGGAATTTTGCCATGCAAATGAAGGATCTAAGACAGGCCTCTGTCTGTTTTGAGGGGTTACCACATTTATTTACGGGGAAGCACCCCCTTTTGGAGAACAACAAACGTTAATTGAAGTGCACTTCCTTTTAATTTTCAGCCAACAAATTACAGCATATCCACGGCATGCACGCCATATACGAGCTGGCTGGCTGGCTGGCATCCATCGTCCTTCTCGCGTTGAGCACCTCTTCCGGGTTCCTGCTTAATTTCATATTTCGAAACATGACACTTTCACACTTTGGCTAATTTAAAAGCATACAAAATGGTTGGTCGACACACGCACGACCAGCTGGCTGTTGCCGCTTCCTCATTTCGTGACGAATGTGCTTTGGAGTCGATGGTGTTGCTGTTGGTGTTGCTGTTGCTGTTGCTCTTGTTATTCGTGTTGCATGTGGCACACACAAAAGGCTGACTGACAGGGATTCCTTTTCGCGCATACGTGTGTGCAACGAACGTCGCTTGTTAAATTGTCGCCTGACACCGCTCGCTAATGTCATCATCGTGGTGCCCACGAACCACTGCCAGCAACTCGGTGGTAGTCTCAGCCACATTATTACTGTAATTATGTTGGCCGTGTAAACGTCATTAGGCGTTTCAGCGGTGGCCAGCGGAACGTGCCACATTCAGAGTGCTGTTAAGTCCCACTCTCAGCCGAAATTGCAGCGGGCAAATTACGTGAACTATTGTAGTCCAACCCTGTGAATCAAATGGCTTAAATCCATTTTCTCTCCCTGCCTGCATAACCAAAAAAAAAAAACCCGGCCCACCATCAACAGATGGCCCCGTGGCAAAAAGAGAAGAAATGTCCATTACCATTAGGCTGGGAAATTTATGTGGCAGCATTTTGAATACATTTCGCTGTCGCTGCTTTAATTGATAGATAAAAATGGCTCACCATTAAACAAATGCTGGCCCGGGCACTGGCCAATTCATTTAGCAATTAAAACAAGCTGCGGCCAAAACGAGCATCGAAAGAAATGTAAAGTCCGCAGAGCGGAGACCGGAGAGCAAACTATAAAATGCAAATCAGTTGCATATAAAAATATATATAATTCATTTGTTAAAACCATTTGCCGGCCATTTGTGCAAGGGAGTAAAACGTTTTTTATACGTTGTGCTGGCTGGACAAGAAATATGTTGTCCTTTTAGGCGTTGACAAATCGGCGCTCACACTCGCGCCTAAAAGTATGCAACAAGCAAAAAGCAGCAGGACGAGCAGCAGCACAGATGCAAAGCCAGGAGCCAGGAGCCAAAGGCATGGCCGCAGTGAACGTGGCGAGGCGGGAATAATAATTTTTGGCACGACTGCCATGTTAACATGTCCCCAGACACGTACTGCCAGTCCCACACTCCACCCCTCCCTCCCTCTTGAATTCGGTAAACGTTGCATACTTCCCGGCGCGAGTTTATTATGTCAGAGGTTGGGTGGTTGGTTGGCAGGAGTATGTATGTCCTGGCTGCATTTCATCGCCCCTGTCCGTAGTCCCCGGGCTTACCGGCTGCCCCTGTGGCTTGTAGAACCATTAGTGAACACGGGTTACTGTGATTACCCCAGGCCCAATATCCCCCTCCCCCTCCCCCCCCCTTTTACCAGAACCCCGCCAAAAACCGACAGGTTCACCCTGGGACAGAGTCTTCGCATTCACATTCGCATTCGCATTTGCATTCGCATTGAAATATATAAATACGTGCGCGGCTTTTGGGGCGGCAGACAAATTACTTTTTAAATGCACTGTAAGCCCTTCAATTGTAATTGGCCACCGTGCGGTTGGAAACTTTGCCAAAAAAAGAAGAGAAAACCACAGAAATCGAAGCCAGGCGAAGAACTTTGAGTGAGTGGCATTAAAAAACAATAAAAAATATTTGGGCCGAGGAAAGGCTAAGGACTGTGGGCCCGTCGTCTAATGGCGTCACGTTTGTGCCGCCCCGAAAAGTGGCATGCAACATGCGATTGCTGCCAAAAGTGCCGCCTGGCACGAGTCCAGGAGCCCCAGGACCCAGGACCCAGTACCAAGGACCAAGGACCTCCTCTGGTTAGTTGGCTTGTTAGTTGGCAGCCAGTCTGCTGCCAGCTGCCTGTTGCACTTCGCCACTGAGGCAGGCACGACTGCCATTCGTAGTGGCTCTGGTTAGGCGTGCTGCCAACTATCGTACTCTCCAGTCGGAGGAGAGTCCTTGCCAGGATGTGTCTGTGTGCCGTGTTGAATTTTTCATTTCATTTGGCGGCAGCAATTCACTTGAATGGGAATTTCGTGTCGTCGTCGCAGTTGCAGACATTGTCGTCTTCGTCTTCGTCAAGCGGAAGCGGAAGTGGAAGTGAACAGGCCAAACAAGTGCACATATAGAGCACATAATAAACGCTCAAATTGACTGAATGTCTGTCTGAATATGAGAACTCTCAGCATAATAATTTTGTGTTGATTTTTTTTTGTTTTCATAAAGGCCAACCTTTTTTTTTTTTGGCCATAAGCCATCGGGCATCAGGCAGCTGACATGAGCCGGGGATTATTAGACAATTAAAATGACGTTAATGAATTAATTTATGAGCCTTTGCGGTGGGGGCCCTGTTGCATAGTTATTTGGAAGCAGAGACAATTAGGGCCACAGATTAGCTTCGGTTAATGGAGGTTTATCGCCTTCAATGGCAAGCAATTGAGGTTGAAATGAGAATTACCTACATTTTGATGGACTATTTTGGTGTTTAATCTGCCTAAAGCTTCGACTACAAATAGCTTGTATGTCAGGGATTGAAATTAATTTTCCTGTGAAATGAGTAGCCCAGTCTTGTGTTCAAGGCAGCTCATTAAAAGCCATTACAGGATCTCGGCAGCATCTCCAGGCTATACTACTATACCAGATAGCAGCCAACAGGAGTAGTTTCTCCTTGCCAAGGACTTCCAGAACTGCTCGTTGCTTATGGCCTTTTGCATAATCTCGAGTTTCATATTTCATTAATTAAAATTATGTTCAAGGCAGAGCAAATAGCCGTTGTACTTGAAGCACCTGTTCGTTCCGTTGTAGACTCATTAACAGCCCTACCACACACACACACATACACACACACACATTCAACCAGGCGGGGGAGGTGAATTGTGCAACACAATATCATTGTTACTTTGATTAATGATTTGCAAAATCATAAAAGCTTTTCTGCTTCCCTAACACCACCACCACCCACTCCATCCATCATCGTCATCATTATCGTCATCGGGAAAAAGGTTTCGCATTACAAAAAGCGTCTTAATTAATACGAAACAGAATGTTACCGAATATTGCAAATGCCTATTCAATTCAAGTTGTCATACGTAAGTTGATGAAACGGCGGGGGGGAATTGGAGAAAACGAAATGTGAAGCCTGCCATTATTATGCTAATTAATTGACATCAAAAGCAAAGAAAGTAGAAGAGCCCAGGCCTAGGCCTTTGTTTCGTACGTATTTATATCAAAATCATTGACAGACTTTGACAATAGACGGCGACAGTTGCAAGTGGCAAGGTAGCAAATAGAAGGGGAACCCATAAGCCGCTTTGAATAGAAATGCAAATTGAAGTGCCGCGTATGCCAATTATTTTGATATATATTTTTTCCACATAATTATAATAACATAATAATGAGCAGTCGAACAAAGGAAGCAGGTGCTTCTTTTAGCCCCCCCTCCGTCCCTTTGAGAGAGTTGACAGGTACACAGCGCACAGGTACTCTGTCATCACAAAATAATGGCCTGTAATAGGATTTCCTGTTCCCCAGTGAGATGACGAAGGGAAGGAAAGCGGAAAAGCCGCCTATAAATATGCAATGCCACTCGAATACTCGAACACTCGAATACTCCAACCACCCACTCCGCTTTTGTCTTCCAGGGTGCATCCTCCAGTTTGGTCGTCAAATACGCCGACACGGAGAAGGAGCGACAAATAAGGCGCATGCAGCAAATGGCCGGTCACATGAACCTGCTGAATCCGTTCGTCTTTAATCAGTACAGTCCGTACGGCGCCTACGCTCAGGTGAGTCCCACACCCCGCTCCCCACCCCAGCCCCCTCTGCTGCCACGACTATATAATCAGCAGCTTCCCTCTCCACCGGAACTGCAGCAGCAACAGCAGGCCGCCTTGATGGCCGCCGCCGCCACGGCCCCCGGCTCCGCCGCCGCCTACATGAACCCCATGGCGGCCCTGGCAACGCAGATACCTCACGGCCTCAACGGCACCGGCCAGCCCCCCTCGCTGCCCTCGCCGACCATGCCCAACTTCAACATGGGCGCCAACACGCCTAACGGACAGCCCGGCGGAGCGGCCGCCGCTGCCGCCGCCGCGGACGGCGTCTTCACGAACGGCATTCCACAAACGGCATTCCCAGGACGTGAGTATTTCTGATAACATATAATAAAATATAAGCAAAATATAAAATAAAAACTAGTACGTAACGTTTACCCTTTTTTTGAACCTCAAGTGAGTCCTGATCCATTTTTTTAACAACCGTATACGGTATTCATTATGAATATTTAGCCAACTATAGCATTTAACTGTGCAAAATTACATTGATCCACTTTCTAACGTATATAGTGTTTCCATAGATTTCTCTTCTTATAAAACAAATGGTATTTTATTCTTTAGTTACTTAGGCGAAGAAAATACCATAAAACAAAATCAAATGTAAACATCAAATTTCAAATTTCAAATTAAAGAAAGAACATCCAGGAAAAAACTTTTAATAATATTTAGTTATATTAACACTACTATAATTATTATTATTTATACCAAGAATTTATTCCATGAAACTTCTAAATATTTTCTATAGCCACTGAACTATTTCTTGCAGATCCGCTGCACTTGACTATACCGCCACAAGGTTTGCCAAACGGCGATGCTGCTACGCTGCAACATGCCTTCCCTGGTCTGCCACCGTTTCCAGGAGTTGGTGAGTGTTGGCCAGAATTAGTTTAACTTTAATTAAGTATAAGACCCAAGACACGCTTGGCGGATGAAAAATGCCAATGCAAGACTATGTTCCAATGCAATTTGCTTAATTTCCAATTATCATTGAGTCCCCATGTCACTTGAATCGCGTTCAATTACACATTTAGCCCATAATCTGCATCATTCATGGCATTGTGTACCATCGCCACCACAATCATTTTCATTCATAGCATCGGATAATGTTCCAATGAACCCAGCCACAACAGAAAAAACAGCCCGTTCATTCATATCTGTTTTTATCGAATAATTAATAATTGTTGTGTCATGCCATAAATATTTATTGTTAGTAACGTGTTACATAACTCTAAATTCTAAAAAAAATAAACATGTTAGTTTTTATTCTTTGTGCAATGGAAGCGAAGTATATATGGTCGATTCTCAATTTCCAAAAAAGTAAATTTACCATATATGCTGACCTCCGATCGTTTGCTTTTATGTTATTCAATTTGTTTTACTATGATTTCAAATATTAATTGAAATAATTATTTATCAGTGCGCTGATATGAAAACAACGATTCAGTAATCAGTGTATTGATCTAACCCCAATCGCAAATCCAGTCGATCTACTATGTCTGGTTAACGACATTTAGTTTGGTTCTTTAGAAATTTGTTTCATTGTCTGTTGATTACTAAAATATGAGAACTATTTCACATACCTAAAACATTTATATTATATATAAATATTTATACGTATTCTTAACTGTTGTGTTGTCTTTATAAATGTTTCGGAATTTGTGTAAAAACCAAAAACAAAATTATTTATATATAATGCAGCCTTTCCCGCCGTCTATGGACAGTTTCCACAAGCTTTACCACCTCCCCTAGCGGCGGTTGCACCCACTCAGCGTGAAGGTAAGCTTTTCATTATAATTTCGTTAATCACCCCCTATATATCCCCCATATATCCCCTATATATCCTTTATATATCCCCCCAACACGTTCGTACGTTTGTTTCAGTTCTTGTTAAGCGATATTGCATTTGACCTTATACCAAATATAAGAATGATTTCGGGCAAATGCAAATACTTATCTGTTTACATTGTACATGTTTCTCCTGATTCTGAATTTTGTTCGATTCTTTGTCATCGTAAACATGCTACACACCGACACAAACACACAAACACACTGAGAGCGATATCGCCTTCGATCTGGCCAACGATGAGCAGTAATTAATTTTATTTGTTGTGCGGAAAGAAATTAAATTTATAACAAAAGCCCATAAAAATTAATTACTTTGCATACTGGGTTTCTTTGGTCCTTATTTTATTTTGATAAACATTTTATCCCTTTGCCACCCAACCACCGCCAACCGCCAGTGCCAAAAAGTAGAATGGATTGTTGGGCTTTTTCAACCCTTTTTGTATGGGGCTGGCAAGCAAGGCGTAAATCGTTTTTAATGGCTGCATTCAACGGCATTTTATGCGATCGTAAAAATTACATATAAACTGCTTAAAATCATATAAAGACCGTCGGCGTATTTCGAAGACATTTTCTCATAAAATTTTATGTTTCTTTTTCGGTTCGTTTTGCTCATCTTTTTGCCTTTCGTCAGGGATACAGAGATACAAGTAATCCATTGTTTCCCCGTAAAACAAAGTGTGTGGGTGTGCTTGTATCCCTGTGAGTGTGTGTGTGTGTGTCATATTCATTTGTATTCGTATGTGTATACTACCTATATGCTAACTATAAACCTAACTTGAGTGTAAAGTTCGTTTGGTTCCATTTCGATATCTGTGCGCCGTAGTCTGTTGTTTCACTATGTATCCTCTAGACCTTACCTGCATGTGTCTACACCCACTCACACACCCATCTAAGTGTGTATTCCATAATAGACCCCCACACACATACACATAATTATCATACAGAAATCGGGGCTAAAGCTAAGCTAAAGAGTATTAAGTATTCATTAGGCATCCTTAAAATACATATGTACATATATGGAAACCCTTTAAGAAGTATGTCTTTTAGACTGTTCGTTTGCTCATGGTTTTTGATTTTGATTTCCTACTTTCCGCAGACTTATTAGTGCGCCTTAGTTTTACTTATCTCGTCCAGAAACAAGATCAGTCACAGAACACAGACCACAAAAATGATCAGAAATCGATCAGACCAAGTCAAACTAGGTCGAAATCAGTGCAAACAAATAAACAAGAAAACAAGAACCAGCAAGCAGACATAACTCATAAATTATAATTTATGATTTTCCTCATTATTAAACTTAATTTGTTCTCTACTTTGTTTCTTCTCTTTGAAATGTCTTCCTTTAAGATTTTCTGATGTTCCCAGGATGTTCGATATCTGGACCCGAGGGCTGCAATCTCTTCATCTACCATTTGCCCCAAGAGTTTGGCGATGCCGAGTTAATGCAAATGTTCCTGCCCTTTGGCAATGTGATCAGCTCCAAGGTCTTCATTGATCGTGCTACAAACCAGAGCAAATGTTTCGGTACTGTGATATTGCCTTTTGAAACCAATTCCTTGTTATCTAACTTTCTAAACTAAACTTCGCAGGTTTTGTTTCATTCGATAATCCCGCCAGCGCTCAAGCGGCCATTCAGGCCATGAATGGCTTCCAGATTGGCATGAAAAGACTGAAAGTTCAATTGAAGCGGCCAAAGGATGCCAGTCGACCCTATTAACAATCGGAGTTCCTTAAACGCAATTCACAACAACAAATACAACAACAACAACAGCAAATACAGCCAACTGGAGGAAGAACATCAGTAACAACAGCTTTGCCAACAACTAACGCATTTTCCACACCGGCAGCAACTTCCGCATCGGCGACAGCGACAACAACAGCAGTCCACTATAATAACCACCTTGGCAGCAGCTTTAGGCCAACTTTAACCAATGGAAACCCTCACAGCCACAACCACAATGCCCATATTCCCTATACATTTGCCAGCTGGCGCAGTGGCACCTATTGTTATCACAACAACAATAATAACGACAACTGTAGCGACAACAACCACATCAACAATAGAATCGATCCTGACAACCAATCCAACGATCCACCCAACACAAATTGCTCCAAAGTGGAACTAGTCGAGAAACTATTCATGTGGCAACAGCAGAAGCGAAAGGCCTAAAGGCAACACATCAACGTCAACCACAACAGCAACCACAACAACTGCAGCTACAATAAGGAGCAACTATTGATGGGGTAAGCAACACTCTAGAACAACCAAAGATCAAATGGATCACAGAGTATACTAATATATATCGAATCGATGTTTGAGGCCCCCTTCGATTAAATTATCGATCGCAGAAAATTTTGCTATTATACCGATTTGAAATATTTAAATTCAAGCTAGTTAAATATAAATACATAATAAAATAAAATATAAAAATGTTGTCCGATGTCATATCGATTCTATTGATATATAGCTTATCGATAACAATATTAACGATATTTAAAATCTATACATTTGTAACGAAACAATGTATTCCATGCAAATTGTATGCCATATTACCTATAACACTTTTCTTTTCGATAAACACTAACTTAAAACCCACTTACTTATAATATTCCTTTCTCCCATTTCAGATGGTCGTCAGCCATGCTATGTGAAAACGATTATAGAAATTAAAAACATGCAAGGCGTATGTAAAAAAAAAAAAATAAAAAATAGAAAACAAGAAAAATGTAAATTAAAAAAAGAAAACACCTTAGAGCTGAAAAATTGAATAGATTTATATATATAATATATTTATATATATTTATCCGATTATACATTCAACTGAATGCAGTACAGAAGTACATACAAAAATAATAATAGAAAACCAACAAAAAACAAACAAAATTATAAAATTGAGAAAATTAGAAAGAATGACAGAATTTTTGCCAAAATATCGATTTAATAAAAGTATATATTTATAGAAGCAAGGAACAAACATTGATATTGATAGTTTTGTTAACAACTAAAGAACAAGAACATTGCACACCAGTACACTCCCACACAGAACACAAAACTTGAGACAAAAACTGACTGGCAAGAGACCAAAATTATCTGGGTTTTCAAATAAAAAAATAAAAAAAAGAACAAAACAAAATAAAACAATTAAGGACGATAAGAGCAGCAACCATTTTATATGAGTAATTGGTGATGGGAATTTATAAAAATTAACAAATCTGCGCAAGGAAAAAATTAGTTGAAAAACAAAGCAAACACAAAAGAACAACTATTAAAACTGAATTTGTTAATCTGATGATGAACTCGATCGGAGTTTACAGTTAATCGAGTAAATAGAAGGCAGCAGTAAAAGGAAAGGGTTAAAATATAGAAGGGACATAGAAGCAGTTAGGTGAGAAAGAAGACAAAGTAGGTCTGCAACTTTTTAGCATTTAGTGGTAAGCAAAAGGGCAAAGATTCAACAGATGCATAAACAGATTATATGTACACATGAAAAATTAACACAAAAATTCGAATTTAATTAATTTTAAGTAAAACAAAACGGATATAGGAAGTTAGAACTAGACGGAGCAGAGCAAGCCACTTAATATGCGAAATGCTTTGAGGGCTATGTCCAAACCCAAAAGGGTTTGATCAGCCTGACCACAAGCGAAAATATCATTTTTTATAATATATATAAATGAGTACTAATTTTAGAAATATTATAATATGGATTTGTTAGAAGTATTGGAGAGAATCAAAGTGAAGAAAACTAAACAAAAAACATTGAAAAGATTTATGAAATACAATATCTACAGCGATCATTTATGTTGGCCTATATTCTCTGAGGGAGAAAATTTCTCTAATTGTTTCAACTTCTCGATTTTTTTGATTCGATATTGTTTGGTTTTAAATTGTATTAAAAAAATCGTAAACGATTTTATAGAATAATAAACAAAATTTTGAATAAAATCAAACAACAACTTTACACTTAAACTTAGCTGCTTTCAACAAAAACAATTACAGGTACTTACAGATATACATGCATATATATATATATATATATATATATACATAGAAATATATAATAAAATCGAGAAAAAACCAAAAAATTAAATAAAAACACAAGGAAAATAAAAACAAATATAAATAGGGCTACTGAAAGAATGGAAAACATAACAAACATTTTGCTATGAAAGTATTACTATAAAAATATATACAAAATAGATATACAGAACAGCAGAAAACTGAAAGTTTTGGCCACTTATTTTCACAACCAGCTCCGAGAAAGATACCGATACAGATAATGAATCAGATTCCGATAAAGTTGACCATAGCGCGCCCTAGCCAGACTAAGCAAAACTATTTAACACTAAGCATATATTAATTATTATTGATTGTTAATATAAACAAAAAATTGCCATTAGAATTTTTATCACAGTCAAAAAGAATGCAAGTATTTTTTAGCAAAACTAGAGAATTTATCACGGCCTATTAAATTTATTCAATATTCTTTGTTTTGTTTCCCACACTGACAAAGGACGACACAACACCCCCGCACACCTAAGCCGAAATCTAACTAAATATTATTGTCAATAAGAAACATAAACGATGAGATCTTTATCCGACATTTACTCAACTGTCTGTTGAATCGAATCTTAAACAATTTAGCAGCAAAATCTGTACAAATGCAAGAATACGAAGGGGAGAAGGACCGATGAGTCAAATCTACAGCTAAATATGCCAAAAACTAAGATTATGGATAGTGAAAGGATAAAGGACGAGGGAAGGTGGAAGGTGGAGAAAATTAACAATTATTTAGAGTTTGTATAGTGAAAATGATAAGTTTAGAGTCGCCTAGTCTGTGGGTTCTGCAGATGAGCATTCGTCTGAGGAACGTATTTGATACTAAAGATATAAAATTTAAATATTAACAAATATAAATATAAAAAATATAAGAAATATTTAAATATGAAATGAAAATTGTTATCAGAGTTAAAGTTAATTTTGTTACCAGTGCAATAAATACTTTGGTGCAGATACTTATGGGTTCCCTCTCAACCAATATCAATATCAATTTCAGTTTTTAGTTACAGCTTACAGCTTACATTTCCGTTGTGAGTATTGCCAGTCGAATCACTGAGACAGTATTAGAAATCTGGGCAAATAGGTTATGGGCCAGAGTGGGGGGAAATATAATTATATTCAAGGTCAAATCGATTTAATCTGTTCAATTTTCTCCTCTTTTGAATCACAAAATGTTAAGCCTCGACAGGAGTAATATTGTAAATATAGAAAATGAAACCTAAAGGCGGATGAAAGTCCCACACTGAGAAGAAACGAATGAAAATGGCAGTTATTTAACGACACATGCATACAAGTATAATTATATACCTACAAACATACAAGTACATAACATATATGAAAATTATCAAACTGATTTTAGCGCCTATTCAAAAGTAGTTCAGCCAGAGACACCCAACAATTTTGACAGCTTTGAATTAAAATGCTAAACTAGAATTTTACTTCGGAAAAACTCATCCAAATACACGAACACACTACATGTATTTACGATCTTGTATGAATCGATCTAGTCAAATTCAAGTTAATTATTGCATAAAGAAAATTAAAACTTAATGAAGAATAAGAAATATAAAAACCAAGTCAAACTATTGAGATAATAATAATTTACTATTATTATGTACTATGATTATGATTAACGAATTATGATTTATCTATGTATTGAAAATACGAACACAAGTATTTAAATTAATATATAAAAAAATTATTATTACAATTATTATTATTATATGCTATTATACAAACATTTTTAGATCATATACACTATACTATGAAACATACGGAATCAAGCAAAATAATACATTTTGTGCTAAACTGATTTTGGCAAAATTATGCAAATTATATACCAAGAGGAAGGATACTAAAACCCTAAATTATCGTAACTATTATTTCTAAAGCATAACACACAATAAACTAAACTAAACCAAGAGAAGCAGAACAAATAAAAGAGAAAACAAATTGAAAAACAAAAATACAAAGCAACCAAACTTGTTTTATTTTATAATTATTTTCCGCGTCTGTAACATCCGGCTTTTGATTAATTTCAATTGGCAGATACCAGGACAGACCTAGTCTCATACCCTCAAAAAAAAAAAACAAAAAAACCAAACCACACTATCCCAACCCGCAACAGAGGACTGAGAATTTGGCATAATCCACTTCCCTCCGATTTAAATATCGTTTACCCAATGTTCTCCCTTAAGTATCTTTTGATAAAAACAACTAAAACACGAAAACCAAAACACGAAAAGGGCTGTGACACGAACGTTTAACAAAAAGTGTGAACAAAATCAAATTTATTTATCATTTGCGCTTGGTTTGTTTTAAATGATCATTTTAAAGAGCGGTGATAACAAGCAACCACTAAAGCCAAATCAAAATTAAATCGATAAACGAATAAAATACAATATAAACGAACAATTAAGTCGCTTAATTCAAATTCGAAATGAAATGTGATGAAAGCAAAAAAAAAAAAAAAAAAACAAACAAAAACAACAAGAATGCTAAATAAATAATTAACAAAAAAAACATGTCGAATTCATATTAAACATTAACGAATAGAAAAAGACAATTGTACCTTGAGCATAAAGTGTAAAAATTGGAACTCGTAAAAATTAAAGTATTCCTAGACATAAACCATAGATAACAACCACATTAACTGAAAATGGACAGGTTTCGCCCATCTCTCTTGAGGGGATATGAAAATTGGCACATTTCTTTGCAAGTTTTGCCAAAATCCAGTTTAGTGCCAGAACAATTCCTTTTAACTACAATCTGCATTTAGCGTCGTCATACTCCGCGTTTTCACTGTCTCTCAATTAATACGCACACGCACACAACGAACTCACCACCACACACACACATACATCATATCAAATACGCGGATATGCGATATACATATATAGTCTACTATATAACTTGGCAGACTTTTCGGCGATTCTCCAGTTGTTTAGCTGCCGGCAAAGAGATATGAAATCGAAGGGACCCCCATTGGCATTGCATTTCCTAATGATTTGTTTGATTGGTTTGTTCCTTTGGATTCCACTGTTTTGTTTTGTAGCCAGCTAAGGATAGCGCTAAACTAAGAATAAGCATTGTACATTACTAATGAAAATGAAGTCTCTTATCGATGATCGTTCCTTAAACTTAATCTATATGCGAATAGATTTTGTCCTACGCATAATGTATTTTTATTATACAAAATGCGAAACGTGGCATTCTTATAGAATGTTTATTACTCTTTACAAAGCATTACTAATAAAAACTAACTTCTTTATTTATTATATATACTATACACAAATATATTATATACTAGTTAATGACAAGGTTAGACAAAGTAGTGAATGAAGCTTACAACACTGACACGGAAACAAAAGAACATAACAAGAACAACCAAATAACACTGGAGTCCAAGTTTAGAACTTACTAATCAAAAATATATTTAGATACACTTTTCTGCAGGTATTTAAAAGAAAGTAAAACCAAACTAAAGCTAACGATAACGATATATAATAAATAGAGACAAGCACTTAACCCCACCATAACCAAGGACTTACCAAAATTGCGTACACTAGTTTTCTAACTACACCTACACGGACACCCAATCAACACTCAAAAAAAAAAAACCACACACTGACACCGTTACAAGGGCCCAAAAAGGCAGAAGGACGAAGGATGTAGGGTAGGATTGATAGAAAGAAGTGAAATGGATGGGGGTGCATATCTTTTTTGCCAAGCCCAAAACATTTTGCCTTTAACATAGCGCATTTTTGGTTTTATTAAAAATAGGAACACAAGAATGACATATTGGATACAGGGTAAAACATGCAGTTAAATCTAAATAGTAAACAAAACTTATCGAATAGCTATGATAATTTCGTATTGATACCATTTCACTTTTATTATTATTGTACTATTGTTTATCCCAAGGCTCTCGCACTTTTTTCGATACGATATTTTTAAGCTCGAGACACACTTTTTGAAGCTTTGCTTACCAACTAGATTTCGCTTGGATAGGCATAGGGTTAGATCTTTAGAGTACCATCAACCATGGGCAAAGTTGGGACAAGGAAAGGCAGTAGAAGCCATAGGAATATAACAAAACCAGCAACAATAATTGGCGGCGCTTGTAAGAAAGCTCAGAAAGTGCATTTAAAATACAACAAAAAATATGAAAACAAAATGAAAAAAAAAAACGGAGAAATTAAAACATTTTTAAAAGCAGAACCTAGTCGTACTTATATAGACGATATATTATAATACTATTATTATGACAATTATTACTATTACTATGAACAAAGAAAGATTTATTAGCGAGCTAAGGTCAACCAAGCATTATAAACCAATTTTGCAATTATACAAACCGAATCGGATGGAATGATATGATATGATATGATATGATATGAGAGGAATAAGTGTACGGCTGGAGATATTGGCGTTGAAAAGGCCCAAAGTTATTTTTTGTAGATAAAACTGTTATCTTTTAGTATTTAGCCAAATGTTAGATCGAGGTACCAGATACAGAGATATAACTCATGCTGTTGGCAGAGCAGGCTAATCGAATAAAACCAAATGGTCAAAGCGAATTTATATTGTATATAGAATAAAACCCCTCAAACAGCAACCCGAACCAGAGGGTTGAATTATTGCATATTATTGAGACAAAAAGAAACAAAACAAATATAGTTGCTAGTCTAGATTTTAGCATTAACACATCAGAGAACACACACACACTTACACTTGCCAATTTTTTGAGTGTGGCTTGAGATGCGTTTCAGAAACTATTTCTCGAATCCGTCGGACTTGAGCTACAGCTTCTTTGTACACTCTATATACTTTCCGTTTAGAAATCCGTCCGTATTTAGCATTATGCAAACACACACAAAACACTCAACATATACGAAAGCAACGGCATGTGGTTTAATTTCAATATCTTAGCCTAGCTCACTTCCAATTGATTTGCTATTGTCCAAAAATTTGTGTAATTACATTCGTCTTTTCCGCTCCCAAAAACAAACCCACACAAATACAATTACTTAGCAATGATTACATCAATCCATTATTTGAGATAATTGAAGAGCACCTTTAACGAAAACAATAAGAAATTAGCAGCAAAATGTGAACGAGAAACACAAACGAAAAGAAAAACAAAAACCAAAACCAAAACCTAACATTAAAATTCAGCAAATGACATTTAAAAATAAGAGATCTTGCACCTAATATTAGTAGCATAAATGTAAAGACAGAAAATGCAGATAAAGAATTCGTATCAATTTAATTTAAAGCAAAACCAACTCCAAGAAAGGCAAAGACAAAGCATGCTTTTTACACCCAACACGATTCGTGATCAGTTCCTTTAAAATCTGTCAAGAGGAATTTCGAAAGAGAAAACAAATCGAGAAAACGAGACGAAATCAAGAAAAACAACACATGAATTAAATGTTAAATGTAAAATGGTTTCAGAATCAAAAAGAATAAAATATAAATAGAGCATAAACAAGATCACTGGCACTACGAGCCCGGAACAGTTCAAGAGTTTTTTCTCTAGTCTTTCATTGACTTTGATTTGAATTCTGACATCGAATGCACTTTGTACACAAATCAAGCATTTCTCACTTTATACGATTTTTCAAATACATCACAGATGGAACGGAATGGGCAGAAACTTGCACACAGCTATAAACATGCATACTTACATATATATTAAATATGACAAATATGACAAAATTTATATTTACACTTATAAATTGCCGAACTAACGAGAAAGATGGTAAATATGTAATAGTCAAAAGTAGTTGATCGATACAGATGGGGGAGCTGATAGCAGACGTGAAGAACAATTAAGTAAATCATTTATAATAGCAACAAAAAGGTCTTTATATAACTATTTATAGAAATATACGCTATATACTATACATATGTGTACATTAAATACAATCTATGAATAATGAAACCAAAATGGCGAAGTGTGTAAAATTGTGCATTCGTTCATTAAAACAAAAGGATGAAAGTAAACACCGAAAAAACAATACAGATATATATCTATATATACTCAATCGGCCTTTTCCGCGATGTTTTGCCACGCGGAATTCGGCTGGAAGCCCACAACACAAGTAAATGCTATCGAACAAGAAAACTATTAATTAATTATGGACAAAACTATAAATATTTTAATACTTAAAGCATTATTAACAGAAGTATATTTTAAACATTATTTATGCGACTTACTGCAGGATACCACATAGATAAAACCAGCATAATAATAGAAGAGTACATACTACAGTAACAAAAACTACCGATCGATTAAAGAAGCCGCCACTATCCCAAAAAACCCAAAAAAAACCTAAAAAAAACCCTGAAAACCCCAAAACACAAGTTCGTTTTGTTGAACACTTTGTTTCCTTAAGAGCTGCTTTATTCCGGAACACACTGAACCACTAAACCAGCATAATATATATAGGAGCAAAAGCAGATTAGTTAGATATCCAGAACGCGCTGAAGGGCTAACAATAAGGAGAGATGGAGGCATAAATCGTAATAACAGAAATATCAAACAACCCCTAGTATTAATTAAAGCCAGTTTCAAAATATGGGCGAGCAGTGTACATTTTGTTTCGTTTGCCAAAAAACTGGGCGTCGCTGATGGGCGACATAAGCGCATTGATGATAGGGAGCAGGAAATTGGATATAGAGTGCGGGTGGAGATTATAAACCAAGTTATAATTACAACAATTAAATTATTATTAATAATAATTATTATACACAAAAACTTATGCAAATGTGTAATAGGTATATAAACAAAGAACAACTGGCAAGTTAAATAAAACAAAACAAAACAAAGCAAAAAAAAAACAAAAACAAAACAAAAAATTATGAAAAATATAAAAAAAAAATAAACAAAAACAAAAATAAAAAAACACAAACCACAAAAAATGCAGAAATATATATTATATATACTTTATAGACATTTAAACATGAAAACAAAACAAAAACACAAAGGAGAAACTAAAAAATAAAGTTGCAAATAATAAACTTTTACCATAAAAATATCATTTATCCCCCGTTGTTTTTTATTCTTATTCGGATTCCAAATCTTATTCCATCGATATGGCAGGCCTGACTTGAAAAATATTGGCCAGCTGGCAAAACTGGCAGAACGAATCGGATTTGAATGGAAGTCGGTTCAAATGGCAGTTCGCTTTTTGAAGCCAAGCATTTGCATATTACGTTCGCATGCTCAGTCGCGAATTCTAACCGGCTGGTGGTGGTAAAAATCGCTCTTAAACGGAAAAATGATTAAAATAGTGATACAGTGAGATAATCCCAGGGGAATACTAAACCCATATCGGCGGGAAAAGAGTGAACTTGAGGCAAGGCCAGACTTAAATCATAGAATTCGCCACTGAAATGCGGGCCAACAAGCCGCGCGTGGGCGTCTGAAGTGGCAGTTATGGCCATAAACGCAAATATGTACGTTCGCGTAAGCAGGTATTGACTGTGAGTGTCGCTCAATAAACATGCTGGCAGTAAAATAACAGTCGCAACAGTCGCACAGTCGCAGCTGCCGAATAGATGTGCAATATTCAAGAGCTCCAGCTCCGGATCCGTAGGTTGGACGCCACTAGCCGGTGATGTAAGCTCCGGTTCTGGCTTGTCAGTCTACCGACTACCACTTACCGCTTACCGACTACCACTCACCGTCGTCCAACCGCCGTCTGTAGAATGTAAAGCTTCTGCAGGTCGCGAAAAACTCGCCCACCCACTGCCAGCGGCAAAAGCGTCATCGCTGCACAGTGATCTCTGCGAAGTTCGATTTTCGATCTTGCACGCAATGCGCAACAGTCGCAAATCGATCGACGGGGAATGCCATTCTTTCCAGCTGAAAGCGGGTAGGTATTGGGCCATAACCAAGGGGGGCCTTATCGACTCTGGTCAGCCAAATAAGTCGCTTGAAGAACGCCGCCCCAAAAGGCATGTTTTCGCTTTTGGATGGGAGCTGCTAACGTGATTTGTGCTTTGCATTCTGATAGTCTGAGTATCGCCACAGACTGCGCAGCGGAGAAAGTGATTAGAAGTGACTTGACTCTTCTGTCCATGACCTACTGTAACAGTGCTGGCTGCAGCCAAAAAAACAAGATTAAAATGACACTATTATGAAATGCTGTGGCATATCAATGACGGTTTATACCTCAATAGCCTCATACTGCATAATCTTAATTAAAATTCTTTGAGTCCACGTTTTTGAAGGGGAATTTTCCACACTATTTTACTTTGAATTACTCTAAAATGTGTTCAACGCATATTTGGAATCGTTTTGCCCAAAATACTGATTTCAATTAGACCAAATCAATATGGGGACTGTGGTAGTATTTTAAATTTGTGTGAGGTTTTTTTTAAACATTACCAAAAGAGGTCCTACTTTCGAGCAACATACTGTTTTGCACAGCTTACATTCTTAGCTAACGATCCCCAGCACTTTCAGGATACTTTCTAAAAATTAATTTGTTGGATAATTTAAACATTTTTAATTAGAAATTATTACATCATCGATTTATTCCATAAAGGGCAAAAGATAAAAGTTTCCATTTTTGAGGGCCAATTGACTGGGAATCTTTTTTTACAAGTTCAACAAAGTACACAAGTTCCATATTTGGTACATTATCTGGTTTGTTATGGCCAAAGTACTAATTTATTTTGGCCAAAAATCAGGGGATGAAAAAATGCCCAATTCTATTCAAAAACATTTGTTTCTATTGACAAGTGTTTTTAAATGTTTCATACATAAATTAAGTCAAACGTTAAAATTCAAAGCATTGAAGTAATAAATTGGACATTAATTTGAATTAATTTCGATTTAGTAGTTGATCCTTTCTTTCGGTGTACCCACTCCAGGTAGAGTTGGAGGTGACCCATATTCCCGTGTGCTCTTCCCGAAATAGAGGATCCGCCTCGATCCGCTGTCTATTTTGGGAGGTGTATTTCTTTACCATTCCTTTCCCGAAAAATCATAATCCGAATGAGGCGCAGGCGATTCTTAGTTGCCCTAACCCGAAGTAGCAAGGTGCTATAAATAAAACGCCATCAAAGTGAGCAGCAATCACATATACGCGTAGCCGCTGAGAACGAGAGCCGGAACGACGAAGGAGGGAGGGGGTGCTGTGGTGATCGAACAGGGGATACCCTCTAGGAGTGGGGCTGCTCCCAATGCAGACAAAAACCCACTATAGACGGAACCAAATTGTTTTCACCCTGATCTGTTGATACAATAAACAAGCTCATGAATGAAAAATTGCGAAAATGAAAAAAGTACATATTCGAAATTTCTTTCTTTATTTTTTTTGCTATTTTTTTTTCTTGACTGCCGCGTAGCGCATTGTGTGGATTGGATGTTTGTCCGATCGGCCAGAAGGGGTCCGTCTATATGGCCGGCAACAAGTTGGATTTGTTCTAAAAATGAACGCACACGAAATAGCTTCGTCTTTGGCGTTAAATGCGGACCACGTCCACGTCCACGACATCCATCGTGGTCGATGTCGAGCAGCGACAACGCATCGCTGCCGCGGAAAGAGCGGCGGAATTTGATTTGATTTCCACTTGGCCCGCTCACTGCTACTGCCGTCCGCGCTATTTTCCTCTATTGTGTGTGGGGCGTGCTCTCCGCGGCGGTCCATCTAAGGAGCATATTCCGAAGAAGCGATGCTTTCCGCGACTCGGCTTTCCCGCAACTAGTTGCGTTTTGGATGTCAACACGATGTACACGCGCACAGCGGCAAATCTGGTCAACTGTGGCCTGCCGTCGGCAGCGTGAACTGATCTGTGGACTGTCTACTGTGGTCTGTGACGATCTGCAGCAGGTGATTCACCCGGGGATTAACCGGACATCTTTGAGCCAAGACTGAATTGAAGACAAGCCCGCCAAACGATCCACAGAATTTTCCGGGGCACCTTAGCCGTACAAACCTTAACCGTAGGAAACCAAGGTAATAGCAACTCTCCATCGTTATTTTGCAAGAGGAAACCCAAGAAGCCATTGGCATCCATTCAGGCCGGGCATTTAGACCTTTTATGGTCATGCTTTTCGGCCCAGGGAATCGAATTTCATGCACAAAAACAACATTTTCGGTTTCGGAGCGCATATATGTGTGTGCTTGCTGAGAGAGCGCCACTTGCCAGTTCCTCTTAGACATTTAAATAGAATTCCCGTGCTCACTATCCTCCTCCTCCGCCTCAGTGTTTAGCTACCCCTGCCGGCTATCATCAAAATAACAACACAAAACGAGGGAAAAACGTGTGTTTCTCACGTCGCGTATACGCAATGTATTGCCTTGATTCACCTCTAACTTCTCTCTGGTTTTTAAGCTTTCTTGGGCAGGGTCTTTGCAGTTTTCCAGTGAGGATAAACGTTGCGTATACGCAATGTAGCTTACTAGTTTACTTCATTTCTAATACCATCCTTTTACTACTTTTTCCTATCACAGCCAACATTGCGTATACGCCACATGTGATTTTTTTCCACTTATCAACCAACTATTATTTTTTTTCAACTTTCTCCCCCAGCCAGGATCACCATGCAGGAACTGACGAGAGTCTGCGACCTGAACGGCAATGCTGGCAAGGCGGAGTTAATGCCAGTTGCTCCAGCCACCAACAATCTGGACCAGCTGCTGCCCAACATTAAGCTGGAGCATGATCCCGACCTCGAGTGCTGGCTGCCCACGCCGGAGCATCCGCAACTCCGACTGGACCTGAACAGCACTCGTCTGCTGTTGCAGGGCTCGGACGATCCGCTGATCTCGCATGGCTCCACCAACGACGGCCACGACGAGGACCATCCCTTCAAGACGCTGCTGGCGCGCAAAAGTGCCGGCCACGAGACACCACACAACGGCACCTGCAGTCCGCTGACCAAGCAGCAACTGAAGGCCAATCTGCTGATGGGCAGCCGAAAGGGCAACAAGCAAGCGCAGGTGGAACCCCCAGCACCGATCCCCCAAAAGACAGTGAAACCAGTTCAAGGCCAAGGACAAAATCGATCCCGAAAGCGAGGCACCGAGGCGGGCGCCATGAAGTTGCGATACCACCATCAGGCCTTGCCTGCGGAATATGCCGCCCACTACGAGGCTACCCAAGGTCGTCAGCCCGCAAGGCCGGTGCTGCCGCCACCACCTACTCCATCTCTTCCTCCGCCGCCGGCGCCGAGTCAGGCGCACGAGAACGTGCGCAGCTGGCTGCGGAAGATTGCCGAGATCCAGCGCAGTGCCGAGCGCCAGCAGCAGAAGCAGTCCAGCACTCCCAGGAGCAATCCTCCAGCCTCGCGATCTTCACCCATTGCAGCCACGTCGGTGGTGCCGGCCAAAGGTGCGGAGGTATCAACCACCGCCACCTCGAAGAGAAGCTCCCTGAAGTATGCCGACCTGCCCTACATGGGCGAGATCACGCTGGACAACTACAAGCCACGACGCGGACGGAAGCCCAAGAAGGCGGACATCTGCCACCTCATCTACAAGAACTATGGCACCATTGTGCCCGCCTCGGTGGCCGAGATGCCGGTCAGTGCTGCTCCGCCGGCCTCAACGGCCACGATTGCGGTGACGCCCGAGGAGCCACTGAATCTCTGCCTGCGCGATCAGAGCGGCGATCGCTTCTCCATCTCCAGCGGCGACAGTGAGAAGCCCACAACGACAACGGCCACGACGGATTGCGGCAGCTCGTCGCACCGGACCACGCCACTTGGTTTGGGAAAACCCCTTACCTTGGAGCTGGCCGGGAGCGAGGATCAGCCGATGTCCGCGGCCAAGTTGCTGCTGCAACCAGTGGGCCTGTACTACCAGCAACTGGTGGAGTCCTGCCACCTGGGCGGGATGCCCGTACCCCTGGAGACCATCGAGAAGGACAACCAGCTGTCCCTCAAGATACCCATACCGAGTGGGTTCTTTGCCAACGAGACTGCTCCGCTGGCCATGCGCAAGCGGAAGCGGTCGGCCATCTTCATCCCGCCCATGCCCGCCGAGCACTCGTCCAGTCCCTCCAACGAGGTGAGCATCTGCAAGTTCAAGTTCACCGGCGGGGCCAAGCCCACGCTGCAGGAGAAGAAGATGCTCTCGGTGGATGCGGAAGGTAACTACCGGTACTACAATGGCACCGGCGACAAGACGATGCGCGGCTACGAGTTCATCTCCCGGGATCAGCAGCAACAACTCCAGCAGACTCAGCAGAACCAGCAGAATCAGCCCAATCAGCAGGGTCAAAGTCAGGAGAAGCTCTACGTGGATATACCACCGCCATCGACGGACCTCAGTCCGGAGCTGCTGCAAATATCGCCGGAGTCGCCGACTTCGACGCTGCTCCTGCCCAGCAGCAACCACGTGGCACCACACAGTCCGGTCTCCCAGTGCTCCAGCTCGCAGAGTCCCATGCCCAAATCTACGGCGGATAGCGAGCGCAAGCGGCGATCCTCGAGGCGGTCGAAGCAGCGCGAGAAGCTGGAGAAGACCTTCAAGGAGAAGGGCTTCCTCATCCAGACCCAGCAGCTTCAGTCCGCCGAGGGTGCCACCTACTGCAAGTTCCGCCAGCTGAAGAAGTTCACGCGCTACCTATTTCGCAACTGGAAGGATCACATACCGGAGAGCGATCTGGCCAAGCACCAGAGCGCTGGACGGGAGGATACTCTGCAAAATCAGGACCGGGCCACATAGGTCCTCTCTCGAGGAGAGCCCGATCCCCCAGCCAGTCAACCACAAAGCACTGCCAAAGATTTAGTTTAAGACGAGATGAGATTGGCGTTGCCAATGGAGGAGGGTGGAGCACAAGCTCAAGCTCAAGCGTAAGCACAAGCACACCATCCCATGCCGATTCCGTCCATGCGGGCTGCCCCAGAACGCGATCAATGATCCTCAGCCACGCTTCCTAGTCGTTCATCAGTTTTTCTAGTGCCTAATGAAATGTTATTGTTAACAAATAAACTCAATGTTTAACCATAAAAGTGTGTCGGATCATAAGTTGACTCGTCAATTACAGAACAATTTTATAGTACCCCACATTACAATATACAAAATATTTGGTTGTAAAAGGCATCGTAGTTTGTATTTCACAAAATATCCGTCCATATAGTTACAATACGTGTTAGTACAAAAGATAAACTCCAAAATGGGCGATAAGTCTATAGGGGGTTATGCTCGCGCTCAAGGTCGTTTCAATGCCATTGCGAATACTTCTCGTTATCATGCTTATTCAGAAGATGTCAATGCATCCCGGTTCCAGATTAGCCTAAATGTTAGTTACAGTTAATATAAAGATTTCCAAAATGTTTGCTGGTATGCTTAGGTTGTCAAAAGAATTTCGCCTCGAATTCAATCGAAAGATGTTTGGAAGGTTGGCCATGCCCGGATAAATTCTCTCTAATATTGTCGCTCGACTTGTGGATTTGGTTGCTTAATTGGTTCAGGTGGCAGTTCATTATTCACTTGGGTATCCAGGTTCGGGGTTGGGCTTACAACTAGAAAACATTTTGTCGTATGCCATCGATTTATGGGTCATCCGACTTCGTCGTTAATTGGAACTCATTGAGCTCTCGTGGTCCTTGGTCGTCTCCGTTAGAGAAGACTCCGGCACCCTGGCATTCATGGGGCACACGTACTCCGTCCAATCGACGTCGCTTTGCGACTTGGAGCTCTTGCGACGCTTCAGCGAGAACTGGCTGCGTTTGACCGGCTTCAGCTTGGCGGTAATGTTCAGCGGTTGATAGCCAGGTGCCGATTCGGCGTCGCGCTTGCTCAGGATCACCGGACGACCCACCAGCTCCTTGAAGTGCATGGCCAGGTGGCGGCGTAGCAGACTCTTGCTGGGCGGTATCGACAGTAGGTCGGCCAGCAGATCCGCATTGAAACGCGACTCGTACAGCATCAAAGCCCCATGCACGCCGGCACCACGCAGATTGGGCGTGTACTCGGACAGGTCGATGGTCTGCAGCCAGCCCATAATGCGATGCGCCGTCCACAGCTCCACGTTGTCCCTGTCCGGACTGCCAGCGGGCTCCTCCTCGCTGGCCACCTTGATGGAGCGCCGAATCAGACCCTCTGCGTTCCAGGCCAAACGGCGCATGCACAAGATGCCCGCTCGTAACGAGGCTATGTGCAGACAGGAGCTAACATGCAGCTGGGACAGGTCCTCCAGCGTGAGACGGTGCAGCATTCGCCCGTCGACCTTGGCCTGCATAAAGTAATCCTTGTACTGGGGCAAACCAATGTCATCCAGCCAGCGAAGAACCCAGGCCACATCCAGGACGGAAGCCTTCAACGTAAGGTCGTCGAATTCCTTGCCAGTGACGTCGTCGATGGCCAGCAATATCTTCTTCCGGTGAAGCGGCAGCTTTAGGTTTAACTCTCGTTCAATGTCCACAGGCGAGGCGGTGAAGATCGACACCGATGGATTGGCTCTCAGCCATTTTCTGGGTGGGCGAAAAGCTGATATTGTAAATGTTTATGGTGTGTGATTACGTATGAGTAACTCACCGGCAATTGTCCTCGTAGCAGCCCAGACCCATGTAGCCCAGCCAGTTGCACACCTCCTGTGCATCCCACGTGGTCCAGTGCTTCTCGTTTTCGCCGAACAAGGGCGTCTGGGCACTCCACTCGATACGTCCGCCGGCGGTGGCTCTGGAACCGCCGCGCCGAAACTCGGGCTCCGCCTGCTCCAAGGCGGTCAGCTCGCAGTTGCTGCTGTTGCTGCGCCTTAGCTTGCCTAGAATATTCCGCAAGCCACGGGCAGATCGTTCTCGCAGCTTTGGCGAGGGCGTGAACTGTGACATGAAGCTGGAGGTCATGACATCATCCGCCTGATGAGGACTGTCTTCGATCAGGATTTGTTCGTTCGAAGCGAAGGCCACGTTCCGCTGTTTGCCACTGCTGGCGTTGGCATTGACGTCCAAGGCACGGTTGTTATTATGGTTTGCCAGCTTGCCGTGGGATCGTGGCAGGCTGTGGAACTGCGGCTTGACCTGATGGCGCAGCGCCGATGGCGGCGTCTTGGGTGAACCCAGGAAGGGCTTCTGGTTTATGTTGCTCATACTGCCGTAGGGTATATTGGCCGATATGACGGCCCCATCATTGACCTGCTCCAAGGCAGTGCGATGCAGTTTCAGTTCACTTAAGGCACTCATCAGCTCCAGCTTCTGCGTTTCGAGGGCGGATCGCGAGATCATCTGGCGCTGCAGCTGCTCCTCCTTGGTGCACAGCTGCTGGCTCTTTTCCGTGATCAGGCCCTCCAGCTCGATGATCTTGTCCGCCTGTTCGGACACCCGCTCCGCCAGCATTTGGTACTGCAGGGCCAGGCCCTCCTTGTCCCGCTGCAGGCGACGCATCCGCTCATCCGAGTCCTGGCGCGGTATGTGCGTCTCCAGCCAGTCGCTGATGATGGCCGCCGTGACGGGATCCGGGGCTGGGGCAGCCAGGCCGACCTTAAATACATGGTAAACGTGTAAGCCCTGCGAATTCTTTCTTGGCCTTATCTTTTGCTCAGAGTGACTCACCTGTTGCAGGGCCAGAGCCAAAGTCTTGGCCGTCGTCAGAACATTGGTGGCCGAAATCAAGTTGCGCTCGCTGAGGGTCAAGGAGGCTCCTGCTCCCGACACCGACACTGATCCCGCCTGCGTGGCCGTGCTCGATATGAGGCCGTCCATTTGCTGGAGCGCCGCCTCGAGCATTTTGCTGCCCTCCGCCACAGTCGCCATGAAGTCCAAGTGTAAGCCTCGCTAATCCCGGGTGATCGATGTTCGTGTGGCCCTGTTGCGCGACTAGTGCATTGTTATGTAAGCAGCTCAGGCAAGGCACGTCATTTCGCAAATGCTTGTTTGTGGAAAAATGGCATCTATGGTTATTAATTTTAGCACTAATTAGGAAAAACTATCACGAAAATAGAGCTGCTGCTGCACCGTTATGCTTCTTCTTGCATCTACACCAGGGACAGCGATATATCGATAGTCCGCGCCCACACGATAGTTCATTGCAGCAACAGTTTTCTAGAGGTGGGAAAACATGGCGATTAATATCGCACACAAAATAACCTGTTAATTAATATATATTGTCAATACATTAATACAATAATGTAAGTGAGCTATAAATTCTATAATTTACGGTTATTAAATATTTAGAAATTTAGATTATTGAAAATAATTTAACTTTGCCATACAAGCAATTAATTAAGTATTTCCATTAATAACACATGCATATATATTAAAACAATTGCAATTAAATTAATTGCACTTATTTTGTAAACTTTTTTACTCTGGGAAGATTTTAATATAAATCAATCATAATTAATAAACAATTTTTTTTTTTCGAATTGTTTATACTATAAATTAATACGGTGTTTCAACTTATATAAAATAAAAATCAATCATTTTTTTTTCGAATTATACTATAAATTTTGGTTTGGCAATATTAATGGAATATACAATTTTTTGTATACTTTTTTAGCCTGGGAGAATCTTAATATAATCATTTATAATAAACGTTTCTTTTTCGAATAGTTTATATTATAAATTATAATGGTGTTGGAACTTGAATAAAACATAAATTTGCTTAGCAAAAAAAAATTATAAATTTGCAAGGATGTGTTCCCATAAATTTTAACTATCGCTAGTTTAATATATTCCATAGCCGATATCCACTGTACTAGCCTTAGTCCATCTCTAAGGAAGGAATGAGCAAGTGGAGTCACGCAGTTTAGGTCATCTCCAACAAATGTCACAACATAAATAAAATAGCATTAAAATAGCAAATAAACGAAATGAATCGCTTTGCCTATGTGGAGGCCCGTCTGAGTCCGAACGAATCCTTTGTCAGCCGCGACAACAAGGTGAAAATATACGATGGTGACCAAAAGGTAAGGTTGTGAATCCCCGAAAAAAATAATCCAGTCCTAAGCCGCAGTTCCATGTTTCCAATAGACGGAGTTCGAAGAGGGCGAAATTGTGCTGACCACTCACCGACTGTTTTGGGGTCGTCCGGGGGAAATAGCCCGGGCCGCCATAACCCTCTGCCTGCCACTCAGCTATGTGATATCGCTCAGCGAGGAGACGACTGCCTCCAACTTCTTTGGCCGCAAAACCCGCATCATTATGCACCTGCGTCCGCCGGCGCCGGACAAAGGGCCCGGTCCGCTGGACACCAGCCGCGCGACGCACATCAAACTGTCGGGGAAAAATGGCCTTAGCATGGAGTTCCACAGTGCGCTGCGCGAGACTCTGAATGCCCGCGTCTGGGAGATTCTCCTGACCAGTGAGACCAACATCAGCAGTGGAGCGAACAGCCCAACCTCGGAGCCCGCCAACGATAGACTGGTTCGCATTCAAAAGCGAACTGGAATCGGTGGCATTGAGCGGCATCTGGAGGCGAAGGCCAAGGCCACGGACGAGAACATAGCCCTGGCCTTCCAGGATCTCAGTGTACTGATGGCCATGGCCAAGGACATGGTGGGAGTGTCCAAGACGATTAGCAGCAAGATACGCGAACAGAAGGGCGAGATATCCGACGACGAGACGGTGCGCTTCAAATCCTACCTCATGAGCCTGGGAATCGACGACCCCGTCACCCGGGACAACTTCACCAGCAATTCGGCTTACTTCAGCAGCTTGGCGCGACAGATCTGCGAGATGCTGCTAGATCCCATCGAGGTAAGAGTTTAGTTAGCAGGTTATCTGTTGTACTCATCCATTTTCTCACCGCCCAGGAGCAAGGCGGCATGATGTCCTTGGCCGACGTCTATTGCCGCGTGAACCGGGCCCGTGGACTGGAACTGCTGTCACCCGAGGATCTGCTGCACGCCTGCGAGCAGCTAAGTGGTCCCATCCGCCTGCGCAGCTTTCCCAGCGGCGCTCGGGTGCTGCAGCTGGAGTCCCATGATGATGACCTAATTGCCGTTGACACTTTGGAAAAGGTGCAGGTTGCCGAATCTCTGGCCGTGGAGGAACTGGCCAAGCAACTAGGAATCTCCCTTCTGCTGGCCAAGGAGCGATTACTGGTTGCTGAACGTCTGGGAAAGGTGTGTCGCGACGAGTCGGTTGAGGGACTCCGTTTCTACCCCAATCTACTGCTAAACCGGGACTAATTACACTGTGAATGTGCTTGTTACTAGATATGCTTAATAAACAATTACTATATTTTATTTAAAACCAAGCTCTTGACAAAAATCGTCTAATGGTGCCTTTCTTTCTTATTAAGATTAATAAAACAATTTTTATTGTCTATTAAACTTAACATTTTCGCAAAAGAAAAAGTAAATAAGTTGTTTTTGCTTAAAAGGTTATTAAACTAATTTTACCCTTGAAAAAATTAATTGTTTCTTTCACTTTTTATATTAAAAAAAAAAAAAAACTGAAATTGGCTTACTTAAAAAAATATTTCCCTTTATATTTCTTGATTTGTTGATGGTTTCTTATTTAACAAAAATAGATTAAAGACTCTGAGAAATAGCAAAAACCTTGTCATCTCTGTAAGAAAGTTTCTAAATTGTATTTTGTAAACAAATAAGCCTATTAAACCTTACTGAAATGCGAAAGGATTTTCATTTCTACATTAAACTAAACTCGATGCTGCCTAGTTGTAGCTCCTTGGAAATGAGAAGACTGATTTGATTTTATAATTCATTTCACACTTTATTGATTAACGGAGCATTTGCTTTGACTTTGTCGGCGCTTCATTATTTTATTTTGGTTTTGTCGTTATTTTTATTTTCGCTTAGTATTTCTCAAGAGTTTTCTTCGTAATCAGTTTAATGAAAAGTTTCTACAGTCAGGTATTTTGATAAGCAGTTATTGAATTGAAATTACACATTTATATTAATAGTGGTTTTCGTGTTTACATATATAAATATCTTATGCTGCTGCTTAGATTGCTCCGCATTACATTAATAAATCTTTGAATTACGTTTCAATAACCATTTGATCAGACCACACGTATATCGTTATCATGTATTTAACTTTCGTACTCAGGTTGGTTTTTGGCCAGTTCTTTAGCGTCGTCGCTTTGCTTGAGTAACAATTTGCCCACTTTCGTAATGCTTTCGCTTTCGCTATCGCTTTCTTTCAATCATTCATTCGGATTACGTAGTACCATGTTTCTTTTTCGTTTATTCTTCTTAAATCACATTTATTATTTAATATTAACATTGAGTAATTTATGCTTGAGTGTGTTGGGGGGGTACGGTAGGGAATACGGGTTGTAATGGTTGTTAGGTGAGGTTAATTTGTGTTTTGTTTTGTTTTCTTGCAGCTTTATGAAGAGGTTTAGTTTTTAGTGTTGTACAGCTGAATCAAACAATGCTAAACAATTACAGCAGAGTAGTAACATAAATAAAATCGTTACTTAAATAAATAATTTCCATCTACAAAAAACTGGCTTAGTTGAGAAACAAATTTGTTTAGTCAAAGCGTTACTTTTTACACATTACTCGACTCGACTCGACTCGTACTCGCACTTGCAACTTCCTTCACGCACATTCCTTCAGCTGCTCCTGCCTCTAGTTTCATTGTACATTGCGCTATTACAAATAAATTGTTTAAATAAGTGTTGACTTTTTGTGTATTTTGTTTTGCTTTTCGTTTTTAATAATTCTGCAATTGGAAGTACTAAATTGGTTGAGGCTACGAATTGTACATTACAAACTAAAATGTGTGTGTTTCTCTTCTTTTGTGAACTTAAGCTAAGCAATCGATTAAATAATTAGCAATAATAATTTTAATAGTACAATATGAATATTTGTAATTGCTAAAACGAACCCCTACTCCGGTTCACATGCTCTCGTAGCTAAACGTAATCGTAATCGTAACCGTAATCGTAATAATTAGAATTTCTTTACAATTAATTTACGTGTTCTCTTGATTTTTCCTCCTCATATTATTGCTTTCCTTTTGTTTTCGGCAACTCCCCTGATTTACAGCTTAAAATTAGCACGCTTAAAGAGCTAGTCTTAGGACATAACGAATTGGAGTTGTGAGCCAAATTGATAGGTGTTCTCGTGTGTACTTTAAATGGCGATCGGGCGCAGGACATATTGAAACAATTTCCATATATATATATATATATGTGTAATATATATATGTGTATATACAACTAGATAAATATTATTAAGACCTCTACACCTAATTCGTTTCTGCCAACGGGGGGCGGGGCGGGGTGACACAATTAACACAAGCGTGTCCAGGCTCCAGCTCCTAACTAGGTTGCACAACTATGAGCTGCCGTTGCCCATGCAATTCACACTTACGATTACACATCAAAACATATATAGTTATATGGGTATACAATGTACGATAGTAATGATAGTTAGGAGGTAACCATAAACTATAATATCAAGCAATACACAACGCGTAGCCTTCTACTTGTTCGCTCTAATGCTTCATCTCTCAGTCCTCTGGTTGTCAGCACATCCACACAATGCTCTACTTGGTTGCATCGGTGGTGGAGCGCCTTCGATTGACCGCAGCCTGTTGCTGCTGCTGCTGCTGTTGTTGTTGCTGCTGCTGCTGCTGTTGCTGCTGCTGCTTGGCCGCCGCCAGGGCCGTCAGTGTCCGTTGACTGATGGCCCCCGAGGCGGTGGCGGCCCGACCGGCGATCTGAATGTGCTGCAACTGTTGCTGCTGCTGCTGCGGCACTTGAACCTGCACTTGGCTTGGACTGGGCAGTGTCTGCGACGAGACCGTGGCGGTGCTCTGCTGGTTGAGTATTCGGTGTTGTTGCTGCAGCTGCTGTTGCTGCTGCTGCTGCTGCTGCACGGGAGCCTTCACCGTCTTTAGTTGCAGCTTCTGGCCAGACATCACAATGGGAGCGGAATTAAGGCTCGAGCTGCTGGTCACCACATTCGCGGCTGAAATTGGGTGTGCGTTATATAGAAGGGTCCAATAAAACGAATCTCATTCGCACTCACAGTTCACAGGAGTGGTGGCTATCTTGAGCGTGGAGCCACCTATCTGCCGCTGGGTGGCGATGAGCTGCCGGCTGGCCAATTGCTTGGTACCCACCACCTGGACGTTACGGGAGCGCGGCTGGATGGTGCCCAACAGCTGGATGGCCGCCGTGCTGCCGCCGCCGCCCGACTGCGCCTGGAGCGTTTGCTGCTGCTGCTGCTGCTGTTGCTGGACTGTCTGCTGGACTGTCTGCTGGGCGATACCTAGACCACCACCAACACTTGAGGTACGTATTGTTTGAGGATTTAGTTTCTGTACACCGGCACCGACTATTTGAGCTGCAAGCAGAGAGAGAGCAGAACGTGGGTGTGCGGGGAGATTTTTTTGGTTGTTGTTTTAGGTTGCAATGAGAAATGTCGAAGAGGTCAGAGGTCGGGGAGTACCGTACCACAGTACAGTACGAGTACGAGCAGTACGGCCGTGGTTATACAAAATGGACTCTCTAATCTCACACTGATGGCATTTCGGGTTAGGACACACAAAAGACACATAAATCGAATTGGATTGGATTGGATTGAATTGGATTGGATTAGTTTAGTTTTGTTGTATGAGGGATCGAAACGAGTTGTTAACGGGGTTCGTGTTGTTGTATGATATGTTGTAAACGAGAAACGAAACAGAAAACAGAAGAGAACAAAATTAAGCATGTTCAATCAAAAGAAAAGAGTTACGTATTAAATTAAATGTGGACCGAGTATATATTTAAATAAATATCGCATAAAAAAGCCAGATCCAGAGTCACATAATTATTCTTCGGCCAGGCCGAAACGTTCGAGTGGCGGCCACTGCACTAGATTCGCGTTCTCCATCTACTCACCAATGGGTAGGGTCAGCATGGTCGTGGTGGCGCCTGCTCCACCGCCTCCTCCCGCATTGCCACCACTGCCACTGCCACCCGTCGAGACTCCTCCGCCGGCGTTGTTCGTGATGACCACCGTCTGGTTGCCGGCTCCCGTCGGCGGCAGGCTCACAATGGTGCCCGTTGGCGGAGCATGTTGCTGCTGTGCCTGCTGATGCTGCTGCTGCTGCTGCTGGTGATGCGGCCCCGACTGCGTCTGCAGCGTTATGGTGTGTGGCAGTTGCTGTTGCTGGCTGGAGACCGGCACCGAGACCAGGACACTCCGCTGCTGGCCCTGCGCCGTGCCCGCCCCCGTCGCCGCATTCCCCGGCTGCTGCTGCTGCTGCAAACTGTTGCCGGAGAACTGCAGCGAAATGGGCTGCGTGAATCCGGGTATCTGAACCTGCACATTCTGCAGCCCGGCAAAGTTGGCCATGGCGCCCTGCAGCTGCGACAAATTGATGCCCTGCAGATTGAGGGTGGCGGTGGTCTGTTGTTGCTGCTGCTGCTGCTGTTGTTGCTGCTGCTGCTGCTGCTGGGGCGAGGCAGACGGCTGCGGATGCGGACTAGACATGGGCGAGTGTATCGATGAGGTGGCGGGCGAGTGAACGATGGTTTTGGTAATGAACTGCTGCGTGGGCGGTGGCTGTTGCGGCGACATGTGCGGCATGGAAACGGCGGACACGTTGGAGGTCACATTGCTGAGGCGCTCCAGCAGAGCTTGGTTCTGGTGCGTCTGCGACGACTGCGAATGGTCGGAGCCCGATGGCGAGGGCGTGGCCGCGTTGGTCAGCAGGGCGGAGAGGGCTCCTCCACCGCCGCCGCCGCCGCCACTCGAGGTGGACGCCAGATTGTTGGGCACCGCAAAGCCACTGGCATTCGAGGCGTTCGAATCACTGCCGGGAGATGGAGCCGCCATGCCCACCACAATCGCGTTGGCCGGCGCTGTGGTGCTATCCCTCCTCAGCGAACTCAGAATGCGCTGCTGCACTTGTTGTTGCTTTTGCTGACTCAGTCCTGCAAGAAAAACAATATGAAATGATTAATAAAATTAAATTTTTAAAGTAAGCTGTATTAAAATACAAATTTATAAATTAAATAAATAAAAATAAAATACAACTTCACTTCATATTAGATCAAATTGCCTAATAATCAGGACCCAGGAATATGTTGGTTGGTTGATTTAAAATTTGTTTATAAATAAGATATAGGAAATTATTAAGTTTCTTTGCAGTATCGTAAGACAATATAACAGTTATTTAACAATCACATCCTATTCTTTTAAGCAACACTTACAAACACAGGATGTTATACACATCTTCTTCCTTTTTTAAAGTAAGCTGTATTAAAATACAAATTTATAAATTAAATAA